CAGAGATGGGGGCATGGAGAGGGGGAGTGGCTGAGGACTCTAGATTCATGGACTAAGAAGAGAGGGACTAAGAGCTGGTGGCCAGGAGCAGACTTGCAGAATGTGTCCTTTGGAGATATAAATTATTATATATGCTTGAGTGGGTTTTTTTGTTTGTGTGTTTTTTAAAAAGCTAAAGTGGATGTAGAAAAATACTGTTAACTGATGGTACATGGAGGGGATTATAATCAATATAATGAAGCAAGGTATATGATTTGTTGAATGTAAAACTGATGATATGCCCTGTAATCTTTCACTCAATCCACAATAAAAACCTTAAAAAAAAAGTTGGTCTAAAAGAGACTGTTGGAATCTTCAAGACTGTGGCCCTTAAACACTCTTGTAGCCTGAAACTAAACTCACCCCCAGGGATCAAGTTTCAGTCAAGCAGTGGACACACTATAAAATGAACACCACCAACAGTGGACACATTTCTCAGAACAATCAACCAAATGAGACCAAAAGGGCAGCATGTGCCCAAAAACAAAGTTCAGAAGGCAGGAAAGAAGGTTGCACGAAACGGGAAACCCAGAGAGAAGTGAAAATTACATTGTGGGGATTGCAACCAGTGTCATAAAACAAAATGCATGTAGATTGTTAATAGAAAACTAATTTGCTTTGCAAACTTTCATCCAAACCACAATAAGAAGTTCAAGCAAAAGAAAAAAATCAAAACTTTTTAATGCAAAATGCACTGACTAAAACAGCATTCAGTTAACTGGAAGCAGATATTCACAAGAGAAAAGTGACTCCCAGGCTCGTGAGTGACCCAGGGTGTGCCACTGGATATGGGTCTGCCGTGTAAACTCAAGTCTAGTTTCCCAGCATGTTTTCAGGGCCCTCAAACTACCTTAATGCATTCTAGTAATTTGTAGATAACATAACACAGGATTTGATTATCTTGTTGATGTCGTAGAGTGCTGATACTGAAGGGAAGCTTAACTTCTTGGTTATATTTCTGAAGGAACTACCACTGCTGGAATGAAGCCTGGATGACGAGACCTGACCTACCTGTTGGGTTTGGCGGTTGGCAAGCTGTGGACAGTACCCCCCAGGAAAACAGTGATGGTAAATTACATCCTCCCTTTGAGAAATCACTTCAATACCAATCTGTATTTTGCTTTTATGATTGCATTTGATATGTGGAAACCACCCCCATTACTTACCAACATCAGAAGTGTGCTTTCTGGGCACATGAACAGAATACCTGCCAATCAAGTTTAATTTCTTCCTGATTATTATTTGTTGTTGTTAAGCGCTGTCAAGTTGGTTTCAACTCACAAGGACTCTGTATAGAGTTTCCAAGGAGCATCTGGTAGGTTTGAGCTGCTGACCTTGTGGTTCAAACTAACCTTGCAGTTTAGTGCATTATCTGGACAGTCAGCTTTATCCTGATAATTTTATAACTTTTAGAGCATAAAACTTAGCATATATAATTCATCTCCTCTTGCTTTGACAAGCAGTTTTGAAGATGAGAAAAAATATCTGTGCAAGCATTTTATTACCCTATAAAACATACTTTAGCCCTCCCAGATATACAGTGACAATTTATAAGGCAGTAGACAAAATTAGAAACTCAAAAAAATAATTATAGATTGTTCTTTAAATTCTTTTTTCTCCAGAACCCGATTTCTTTCAAAACTTGCGTATAACTGCATTAGTCTGGTAACTTACAAACTAGTGTAAGCAAAGGAAGCTGTGATCTCTCCCAGATTTTGATAAAATGAGATCAAAGGCCTTCATTTCTGCTTAATGCAATGCAAAATCCGTGTGATGAGTACATGATCATGTTGTCTCCTCAACTGTTGATGTAATTCATTGACATGGATATGCAAACATAGAAAAGCATAAACCAGTTGCCATCAAGTTGATTCTGGCTCATGGAGCCCCCACATGTATCTGAGGAGAACGGTGCTCCATAAGATTTTCAATGGCTGATTTCCCAGAAGTAGACAGTCAAGCCTTTCACCTAAAATGCCTCTCAGTGGACTCAAACCTCTATCCTTTCAGTTACCAGTAAGCACTTTAATCATACGCACCAATCAGGTATTCCTACAGTGCATAAATATTCAGTATGTACTCCTAGGGGAACGTTATTATAACACTGGGTTTTAGGAGAGAAAGTTCAGAACTTCAGCGTTCTGAATTATATGTGATGAGATGACTTCTCTCCTGTCATAAGCTGACTCATAGCAGCTCATCTCTTATCAACTAAAGATAGTGATAATGTCTAAAGAACTTTAGAATGTTCGTTTTAATATGGAAACCGCTGACTTCCCGAATCCCTGGTAGGCATTAGTCAATGTGTGTGACTAATGCCAGACTCTCCAGTTAAACTTGACCTCAATTGTGGGTAGAAATTAATCTCCAAAACCTCAAGACAAAAATCAAAGTAAACAGAAATCAGCAACCACTAAGCATGCATCAACATTTTCCACATTTGCAACCCTGTATATGAGTCCTGGTGTGACACTGTAGTTAATGCAGTAGACTGCAATGTTGGTTTGGATCACAAGATTGGCAGTTCAAGCTCACCAGCAGCTCCTAGGAAACCCTAGGGTCACTATGGGTCAGAATCGACTCGATGACACTTAACAACAACACAGGGTTTCTGGAGTCCTAGTGTGGTGCTGTGGGTTAATGTGTTGGACTGCAAGGTTGGTTTGGACTGCAAGGTCAGTGGTTCAAGTTCACCAGATGCTCCTTGAAACCCTACACAGGGTCACTATGAGTCAGAACCAATTCGATGGCATACAATAACAATGGTGTTTCTGGGGCTCTGTCTTTACGGGACCAGAAAAACCCATCTTTCTCCCAAGAAGCAGCTGGTGGATTTGAACTGATGACGTTGCAGTTAGCAGCCCAATGCATAATTCACTATGCCAACAGGGTCATATATATATATATATATATATTAAATATAGCTTCACATTTTAGTTTTCACTTCAAACCAAACTCTCTTCATTACGTGTGTTGGCCTTCAGCTATCTCTGGCCTTGGAGCACACTGGAGTAAGTCCATGATAAAGTTTTGAAATGCTTCCCAGGTACTATGAACTGTACTGTGTCCAAGCAGGAATGGGAAGGGCAAACTCACGCTCTCCTCCCTCTGTGTACTGCAGGGATGTACCGTTGTGGGCCAGCCTCTGTGCAAGCCATCAAGCACGGCCATGTCTGCTTCCAGTTTGATGCACCCTTTGTGTTTGCAGAGGTGAGTGAAAAACAGAAGAGTGCTGTTTTCCTCCTCAGTCTCTTAACACGTGAAAAAGATGATACTGGGTTGTTACTTCGAAATTTCCCAGGTACATGGTGTATGCTCCTTGTTTCCAAAGTTAACCAGGCATCATTCCAATCTCCAGGCTCTTAATTCTAAGTGCAGTTCATACCTGAGAAACAATCATTTACTAGACTTCACTTATTTTCTATACTCATAAAATAGGTATTAACTGGCCCTAAGAAATAAGGTGATTAAATTAATTACTCGACCAAAAATTAGTGGGGAGAGTCCTTGAATTGAAATTTTGGTGCATACAGCTTCTCTCTGGGACTAGTCCAGTAATCCCTGTAACATAAAATCCAAACACTCCATGGTCTTGGTCTGGGAACTGTCCTGAATTCCCTGCCATCACTGGGGAGGGGAGAGTAGAGGTGCCAGAGCTAAGAGGAAGGAGCTGCTAGGAAGGAATGGGAAGGAGAAAGGGAGAGGTGCAGTTCACATAACGGAGTCGTGGAAATACTTTATTGATGAGTCTGGAATGCTGGAAGAACTGAGGAGGGGGCTGGAAGAAGAGAAGGCAGTAAACAATACTACCATGAAAGTCAAACAGAATGTAAGAGATGTCAGATACGTGGAGAGATGGAGCGGCTGGCAACTCTAGACTCATGGAGGGAAAGGGGCTGTGTGCTGGCGGCCAGGGACCAGGCTTGCAGGGTGTGCCCTTTGGGTGTTCAAATGATTGCATATTCCTGAGTGTTTTGGTATACATTCCCCCCAACAAAAAACAGAGGGAACAGAAGCCAATACTGTTGAATGATGATTCATGGAGGGGACTACAATTATTGCAATGAAACGAAATACGATAGGATGAGTATAAAACTAATGTTTTCCCCTGTAAACTATCACTCAATTCACAATGAAAACTTAAAAAAAAAAAAAAAAAAGAGAGAGAGAAATGTCAGGTAAAGGAACAGGCTGAGAGTTTGCACGGGAAGATATACACATGGAAGTCTAAAAACAACACAGGGTTTCTGGAGCTATAGTTTCCTCAGCTATAGTTGAACCAGTTAAACACAGTGAAATAACAACTACCTTGTACTAAGCTCATATTTATAATCACTTTACCTATTACTTTATATTCTTGGTGGTGGCAGTAGTTCTGTGTCATGGAGTCAGTTCCAACTCATAGTGACCCGGTTTCTGAGGCTGTAAATCTTTACGGGAGCAGAAAACCTCATCTTTTTCCCACAGAACAGCTGGTAGTTTTGAATCGCTGACCTTGAGGTTGACAGCCCAATTCATAACCATTATGCTACCAGAGCTCCTTAGTAACTCTTTAAAATAAGTATTACAATTCTTCTAATTTTACAAAAAAGGAAATTAAAGTACAGAATTATCTGGCTAATAAATGGTAAGTAGCAGTGTGGTGTCCTATTGTGGCACTGCAGGATAAGCACTGGACTACTGAGCTCAAACCCACCAGACACTCCTTGGAAATCTTTTACAGGGTTGTAATGAGTTGGAACCAACTCAATGGCACTTAACAACAACAACAAGTAGTACAATGGGAACACTGTGGCCCTGTAGGATAAGTATTGGACTGCTAACCAAAGATTGAACTTTCCAGCCTCTCTATAGGAGAAAGATGAGGTTTTATGCTCCCGTAAAGATTTACAACTTTGGAAACCCTATGTACGATCACTCTGAGTCAGAACTGATTCCACAGCACTTAACAACAACAGCAGTGTAATAAACATATTAAACCTCAGTTGTCATCAAGTTACGTTCACCTCATGGTGACTTCATGTGTGTCAGAGTAGAACTGGGCTCCACAGGATTTTCATTCACTGATATTTTCAAAATTAGACCACCAAACCTTTCTTCTGAGATGCCCCTGGGTGGACTTGAACTTCCTACCTTTCAATAGCAGCCTTTACTTAGGAATAAGTGCTTGTACTGAGTCTTGAAGGTTGCTTAGTACGTCTTCAGACAATGGCTTATAAAGAAGCATATTGGGCAGAGGAGAGGACTTCAGGCAGGTGAGCACTGAAGGGGGAATATGGGGAATGTCAGATGTGCAACAGGAGATGTCAGAACTGAAGACTGAGGAGATGCCCACCTGCTGCCATCAATTCAGTTCTGACTCATGACCTTGCAGTTAGCAGTCCAGTACTTAACCCACTGTACCACCCAGACTCCATCTGAGGGAATGAGGCAGACAGAAAGATGGACACTGTCTTGTAGACAGGGGATTCTCACTGAGGAAGAATGTGAACCAGCTCGTAGACCACTGACAGCCTTCTGGATCACAGATCAGATGGGAATGTCACTGGACTTGGGAAACCAGCTAAAAGATGGAGACAGGGACAGAGAGGCCTGTCCTAAATCAATGGCAACAGCATGAAAGGAAGAGACAGGCAAGGGAAATATTTAGGAAGTAAAATAAGTGTGGATATTTACACAGCAAAAATCAGAAATTTGAAACCTATCAAAACAAGAAAGTTTCTTGTACAGGACCTATCATGATAATATCTAGAACCCTTGGGAGACGGGGCAGACTGTATCTGGAATGGTATCCCTAGATTTCCCTTTGGGATTTGAAGACTTATGCAAATGTCCCGAGCTACCATCTTAAAGTTTATTCTATGAGAATCGCTTAATGGAAAATCACACTGAAATTTACAAAGGCTTGTTTTTATATTTATGTTTTCATTATGCTTTATCACACTAAGAGAGAGGGAGAACTTTCCTCCATGAATTGCCTAATAGTTGTTAATGTAAATGCTTTTTGTTAGACTTAAATATAGATCCAGTGTTATGAATATCATCAGCATTTGCAGATGATAATTACTTCTCCTCATCCACTGTGGAGACATGTCTGACAGTGCAAAATTTGTTGCTCTAGCTCAGACTGAGCTCCAGGACTGAGCCATTTATGAGATATGTTCAAGCTGTTGAAAACTGTCTGAGGAGACATTTTCCAAGGGGGCCTAAAGCAAGACCCCATGGGGAGTGCAGCATTGAACTTTAATGATGATCTACATGACTCAGGGTTTGCACAGTGCACCCCTCCTTTCTCCTCCTTGCTGTGTAAGCATGCCACTGCTCGCTTCTCCAGCTACGTCAGCAAGAGTTGCCTTTCCTTGCCTCTCAGCAGGTTCACTTTTCTTGCTCATTCTTTACTCATTTCCGGGCTAGATGAAGCAGTGTGTTCACTGACTAATTTTTTGGTTTTCCTAGGACTGTGATCCCCTTCAGTGAAAATAGAATCATAAAATATAAGAGTGATACATGGAAACAGTCTTATCTTCTGTTTCTTATCTTATCATTTTCCATTAGGGAAATTTACCCTTCTCATTTGTTTCAGGGCTTGAAGTGTGTTTAGTTAATGTCTTTCCTTCTCTTGTCTTCATCATGTGGTGGGTTCCTCCAGTTCTCAAGGCCCATCTGCCTTTCTTACCCCAATTCATGGCTGCCTAGGACTTCTGAAAAGATGAGAAGAATGAAGAATGGTTCTAAGTATCTGAAGTCATCTTCTGGATGTTCATGTTAATGAGGCATTTGGGATGCTCCTTCACTTTTATCTTGTTCCTGCTATTGTTGTTGTTAGGTGTCATCGAGATGGTACCTACTCATAGCAACCCTATGCACAACAGCAAGATACACTGCCCGGTCCCGGGCCAACCTCATAATTGTTGCCACACTTGAGCCCACTGATGCTGCCACTTTGCCAATCCATCTCGCTAGGAGTTTTCCTCTTTTTCTATGACACTCCACCTTACCAAACATGATAGCCTTCTCCAGCAATTGGTCTCTCCTAATAATATGTTTGAAGTATGAAAGACAAAATTTGGCCATCCTGGCCTCCAAAGAGCACTCTGACTGTAATTCTTCCAACACAGATCTGTTGGGTTTTTTTGGCAGCCTATGGCACTTTCAGTATTCTACTCTAACACCTTAACACAAAAGCATCAATTCTTCTATGCTCTTCTGTAGTCACTGTCCAGCATTCACATGCATATGAGATTATTGAAAATACCACAGATTGGGTCAGGTGCACCTTAGTCCTCAAGCTGACATCTTTGCTCTTCAACTTGTGTTTTTTTTTCTAATGTTTTGTTGTGAATTATGTGATAGTTTACATGGGAGAACATTAGCTTTACATTCATCCTATCGTATATCATTTCATTGCCATGGTTACAATCCCCTCCATGCATCATCAACCAACCAAGTCTGCCCCCTGGTCATCAGCACACAGCCCCTCTCACTCTCTGAGTCTGAAGTCACCAGCTGCTCCATCTCTCCATGATGCAATTTGATGAAGTTGACCTACACCTATGGATGCAGTAGCTCAAAAGAGGGACCAAATCTTTACAGTGAGGATCATTCCACACCCTCCATACACAAAGTAGACAGGGATGGGCATCTTAGACATTGGCTACCCAAAATGAGGGGGCTACAAAGGCAAGAAGTGACTGGCTGACAAGTTTTCAAGAGGGAGCCTAGATCCAGAGGGTATGGAAGAAGGTAGAATCTCCACTGAATAGTATCAAATCTGTCTGGGCAGGGCTAATAAAAGGAGATAGGGATAGATCCCTTGTGGTACAATAGTGAATAAGTGGTATCAGGACTGACTGCGAGGGTTGGAAATGTAAAGGTGGACGTTTGTAGCAAAAGGAGGGAGTGACTGACTTTGCAGTCTAGGAGTGGAGTCCCTGGGACCGTCAAGGGAGAAGAGCAGAGTGTGAGACCCTAACCAGAGAAGCAATGATGCCAGAGATGGAGGCAGAGACGATGATGTGGAGAGATGGAGCGGCCGGGAACTCTAGACCCAGAAAGTGAGAGGCGCTGTGTGCTGACGACCAGGGGGCAGGCTTGTGTGGTGTACACTTTGGTTGGTTGATGATGCATGGAGGGGATTGTAACCATGGCTATGAAACGATATAGGATAGGATGACTATAAAGCTAATGTTCTCCCATGTAAACTATCACAT